CACCAGTCTTCCAAACTCACACTCATCTCCTACCATCATCTCCACCAAATTCTTCATCATAAGCTGCCACTAGAGTTGTTCTGAAATGTGCATCTAATCATTCAACTCACCTGCTTTAAAACATATAGTAACTCTAATGTCCACAAGATAAAGTCCAAATTTTATGGTGTCTTAGTCTGCTCAGGTTGCCAAAACAAAATACTATAGACTGGAAGTCTGAGCATGCCAAACATTCCAGCATGGTGGTTTCTGGTGAGAGCTCTCTCCCTGGTATGTAGGCTGCCACCTTCTCACTGTGTGCTCATGAGGCAGGGGAAGATAACAAGCAGAGCAAGCTCTCTGGTGTCTCTTCATATAAAGGCACTGATATAATGATGAAAGCTACACCCTTGTGACCTCTAAACCTAATAACCTTCCAAAGACTCCATTTCTCAATTCCACCACACTAGGGGTTAGTGAATGGGGGAGGGGGTACAGTTCAGTCCATAGCACAAGGTATGATATTCAAGGGCTTTGACAACTAGCTTTTTAAGCTGCTGATTTTGTTTTATATTTTATTACTCCATGCATTCTGAGGCTCCAAAAACATCACAAATAGTTCTCAAAACACATAAAATACTTTCATGGAGCTATACATTTGCTCATGCTGTTCACTCCATTTAGACATCTTTTCCACTCTGACAAACTGTTATGTTTTTCAGACGTCCAGGTCAAATGCCACCGGTATTATGGAGTGAGCTTACACTTCCTCTTATTTGTGCTCAAATCACTTTGCACAGACTTCTATCAAATTCAGATTGCCTGGGTTCAACTTGTAGTTCTGCCAGGTTCTAAATGCGTGATCTTAAACAAGTTACTTCTTTATGTTTCAGCAACCTCATTAGTTAAATGGGGATAATAGTACCGATTTCATAGAGTTTTGGTGTGGGGATTAATGAGTTACTATGCTCAAAGTTCTTAGAGAAATGTCTGACACTTAGTAAGCATTATATAAATTATTTATTATTGTTATTATATTAAGTTAAAACAATCAGGAAAAACACTTTTATTCACAGATTGTAAATGTACGAAAATGTCTCCACTCTGATATCCTGGTGACCTTGCACTATTTACATGGGCCACGTAGGCAAGGCTCAATTGTTGTCTGCCCCAGGTCTTGGCAGAACATCCTGTGATCCTCTCAGAGGTGGGAAGATAGGCAGTCTTGTGAGGAGTTGCCTCAAGGCTGTTTTTTATCTTTCTACCTTGTGGGAGGTTCCTATCTTGCAGAAGGCTACCACAAGGCAGATTCTCACCCTACTCCCTCGTTTCAGTAAAGCATAGGACTTTCCACCTCCTTCCCCTTGGGTATAGATGCAGGCTATAAAATAGCTTAGCTGCAGTTTAGAGTGAACACTTCAGCAACAGAGTGCCCACTGGCCCTTTTAGTTTCATGTAGTCCTGTGGGGCAAAGGAATATCGGGAGCTGACACCATGCTGATCTTACTTATGCTGTCTGTGTGAGTAATAATCTATATCCATTTGATCTCATTGTTTCCTCATTGGATGGGTCTATGAAGGTTTGTGCTGCTGCTTATGGACTGTTTGAACTCTTGACAGTAAGTTCCTTGAGAAGAGAAACGAATTGATTTTTTCAACACTATATATTGAGTGTCTAGCCTATAGTAAGTGCTCAATAAGTATTTGTAGAATTTAAAGCACTATAGCAAACAATGATAAATATGTATGCAACGATATATAGTCAAGGATAAATATCAAACCTATTATAATCAGAACCTTGTGGAGAGGGATGGAGAGTACAGAAGACAAGAGAAAATAAAATACAAAATAAAATAAAACAAGACAGGGGCATTCTAATCATGAGGTTTAAAGAAAAATATAGACATGTCACCTAGGAGGGAAAAGCCCTCTAGCTCACTTATTGTTTTTCCATTCATTTATATGAATTTTTGATACCTTGTAAGCTTGTCCTTATTTTCTCAAATGAGCTGTAATATATGGAAGAAAGGCTAGATTACCATCTTTCATGTTCCAAGGAGCCCCATTTTTTTTCTCGTAAGAGCTGCCTCATGGGTGATAGTACCCTTTTAACCAAGGTGGGGATGCTTTTATTTGTTTTATACGTTGGGCTTTCTCATAGAATTTTACTTGAAAATGTTTAGCAGCTAAAAGCAAGGCAAAACAAACCTGCAAAACAATGGCCTATCTCTAGCTCTAAAATTAATGTACAGCATAATATCTGGAGTTCATAATACAGTATTGAATATTGGAAATTTACTAAGAGAGTAGATTTCAGGTGCTCTCACCACACACACACACACACACGCACACACACACAAATGTTAACTATGTGAGATGGTGTGTTAATTAGCTTGACTGTAGTAATCATTTCATTATGTATATGTATATCAAATCACGTTGTACACTTTAAATACATACAATTTTTATTTAAAAATAAAATGCCTAAATATAGATTAAGGCAAGGGAAGTTTTGTACCTACAAAATTGGGAATAGAACATCAGGCAGAATTCGGATAATGGAGCTCTTTGGATTGGGGTTAGAAGGAAAGAATGGAAGGCTTGCTGAAGATATAAATATTACTAACACAGAATTTTGTTTAGGACAATCACTTTAATTTAGGACTCATAAATCTTGCTTTCTTATTTGGAGTTTGGGGAGGGTAAAGGACAGGGTGGTCCTTGTGAATTTTTAAACCCCAAATCACTCCTTGTACATATAGACAATGTCCAGGATCCAAGTAACATATTCAATTCTAAGTTGCAAATTTCCCTGCATTTTAATGTTTCTGATACTGGGGTGTATCACATGATCAACACATACATTTAATATAGCATACCTATTTTCCTTTATTATTAAATAAATGGCACATTTACAATTTGATGATGACTTGGATTTGAGAAAATGCCATATTATCAACAGGAATAATAAGCTTATAAATTTAAGCAAGAAATTCTTGAGAGGGGTCAACAACCTCTTCAGTCTGAGTCTTACCAGTGGGGTTAAGCAATGACAATGGATGTCATCATTGATATGCTTACAGGATAAAATACAAGCTACAAATGAGGATTTTTTTTTTTTCTATTTTGAGAATCAACTTACCAGTACACCACCATCCACAATTTTCTTTATTCTTTATTCTTTTTCTATTCACTGTTTACTCAAATAAGCCATGCTATTTCATGCCTAGTTACCATTCCATGTGCTCTTACCTCTGCTTGGAATCCTGTCTACCCAAAGAGAGTTGATCCCTTTCTGCTTTATGTCACCACGTGCCTGATATATGCCTCTAAATGTGTACTGACCATACTGAACTATAATGATTTGTTAGGTGTCCATCTCCTTTATTGGAAATTCCTTTAGGGTAATTGACTGCTTCTTATCTATCTCTGTATCCCTAGTATGTAGGACAGTGCCTGGTATGTAGTAGTATTCACTAAGTCTTCAAAGATTGAATATATAAATAAAAAGAAAGAAGGAGAAAAAGAACAGTATAATGTTATAAAATGCCATAGAACCAACAAATCTTTCATTTGTTGCTGCCATTCAGTGGTGTTCATTCCTTATCCAAACCCTCTGAACTCCTGGTAGACATACAATTATCAACATTGAGTTTGTTAATAATAAAATGGGATATTTATGTCCCCCCAGTTGATTATAAATTTACTAGAGGGAGGGATCAAGTCTTTTTTTGTATGTACTTGGTGAGTTTTAGATAAATTGTATATTCCTATTCTGAGGTTTGATTTAGTTTCCAAGATTTGTTATTCAGTATACCTTTATCATTAATACTAGAAGCAATTTGCATGAGAGAAATGGAAAGGCCTACAACAGTTTCATTTATTTAGGGCCTAGAATTTCTCCAGAGTTTAAAGCAATCCTTGACACTAGACATCAAAAACATAATTTTACTGTAATTTAAGGAGAGGAATTTGAATATTACTGCTAAAACCCTGGGAGCTAATTACTTCAAGATCACTTGAAACCCTAACTCATTCAAGTTTGAAAAAATCTCCTGAGGTACTTAAAGTCACTATTCCCATTTTGTTACTTGATTCAAATCAATGTCTTAGATCTTGCTAATAAGAGAAAACATGAAGTTCATGCAAAAGAGAGATTCCATTTATCATTTGCTTAAAGAAAAAATATTAAGCATCTCCTATGGGCACTTCAGTATTCTATACTGTACAGTATTGTAGGAGAGGGAGGGGAAAAGATAGATGCATAGCCCCAGATCTCAAAAAATAAATTCTTAGCACCAAAATTACTAGTGTATATTGTCAAAATGAGTTACATTCTACACTGTTGGTTAGACCCAGACTTTTCAACAAGATCATTGAGGCTCAAATAAGCAAAAATAATATGGTTTCAATTGATATTGTTGGTGTTGCTATTTCAATTATATAGGAACAGTGGCTTGGCAAAAGATGCCCTCCAATATGGTGTAGTGTCATTCAGATTAGGAAGCCAAGTTACACTTTAGATGTCTTTTTAGAGTCTTACATCAGAAGTTCCAAATATTAAGAAAAGAATCCCTTTTAAAATTTCCCAATGTAAGCTGAGTCATTAAAAGAAATACAGACATAAGAGAGGAGACAGATTCAGGGAAGGAAATATTTTATTCTGATTGCCTGTCAACTTGTGAGACATTACTAACCAATCAGATGGCATGCAGAACATAGAAGCAGAATGAAAGAAATTCAGTCCAATCAGATTGGGCAGTTTTAACAGGACTAGCAGTAGTGTATTATGTTATGATTCTATCATGTTTACTTGTCTTATCCACATATGTAAGGTTAGCTTATTTTGAACATGTTTACCAAATTTAAACTGTCTCTCCCATTATTCCCTTAGTACTTGAAACATAGCAACCACTATTTTTAAAGAGTTTACAGCCTTGCCTACAGTGTTTTATATACAATAGGCAGTCAATTTAACTATAAATGTCATAAGGAAAATGGGGATGTGGGGAGAAGCTTACCACTAGATCCTCACAACATGCTGTTGAAGAATCTTTTTTCATCAATCCTAGGAATACATCCTCAGTTCCCACCTGCTGTTTGTATATGATATCATACCTGAAAAAAAGTCATTGATATAGAGACTCAAACAAAGGAGAAATTTCCTGTCATAGAGCAGAAAACTAGAAACTTATGGGAACATGCCATTACAAAAAAATAAAAGGACTAAATAAAATGCTTGCAGTTTTTCAGGTATATAGCAGAACAAAAAGGAATAGAAGTCTAAAAATTCAGTCAAAAATGCCTAACACTGTAAAGCAGGATTTATATCATATATACTTCTTTTCTAAAAAGAAGCTTAACTGTTTTAGAGCTATACAGATAAAATGAATTGAAGTAATTTCTAATAATAGTCTAATAAGATTCAATGTAGAAGAAAAAAGAAAGGTTCTTTCCAGGAAAACAATGGCTCAGAAAAATAGTGGGCCCATAATCCAGGGTTTGATGGATAGACAGGAACTCCCCTCTGCTAAATTTAAGCCACAATGTAGAACTCGACAATCCAGGTTTAAATCATTTCTGTCATTAACTGTGTGACCTTGGTCAAGTCACAAACTCATGGAGTCTGCTTCTACATTTTTACAATTTATGGAAGAGAGAGGGTTTGAATTAAATGATCTCTATCTTTTCCACCTCTAAAATTCTACAATAGAAACATTGGTAATGTAGTCAACACAGCTACACTACAATGTTTAGAATCAAGTCTTATAGAATTCTTAGTTCAATGAAAGATTTTCCTGTATTTCACCTTACCCATGACAATTCACAAATCTTCCCTTGGCCCCAAACTTGGGGCCTTAGAGGTAGGATGTTTTATCCTTAGAGGTAGAAGCAACCAGCCATAATGTATCCTATCATTTTAGAGAGAATAAAGTAAGCAAACATTTAGTAATGAACTTTTGTAGTTAATTCTATCCTAATGAAGAAATGGTAAATCTCTGGACAGGAAGACTAAAGGACTATACTGAACTTTTGATTACTGGCAAATAGGAATGTCCAAGAATGAAAAGGATTTCTTTGAGTTGAAACAGGAGTAACAATAAGTAGCCATTTGATAAGGGCCATTTTTTCTTAATAGACTATAACATCTATCAAGTATTTACAAAGATGAAATCAGGTTAAAACAAAATAGATAGGTATTGATCCATATGTCCATGATTCCCAAATAGATTTGCTCTAGCTGCTGCTCTTCTCATCACCAGAAACAATTTTCCAATTGCCTACTATATGCACTTGCTTAAATGTCCCAAAGGCACCTCACTATCCACACATCCAAAAACAAACTCATTGCTTCCCCACCACCTACATTCCCAATTACAGTTAATGGCCTCACTATTCATCCTCTCATTCATTATATCTAATCAAATATCAAATCTGCTTTCAAAAATCTCTGAAATAAAGACCCTAAGACTTCTCCCTGAAACCAGTGACTTAGATCCATGCCCTTATTATTTTTTACTTGGCCACTAGTCATTCTTCTTTTGTGAACTGCCTGTCCACATTCTTTACTCATTTTCCTCTTTACCCATTAGGACATTTGAAATATAATTGCATAAGATAGAAAATACATATTTTTAAAAAATCTTAAAAAGCCATTTTCTTCTTATCCTGAATGAATTATTTATTCCTGTAAAACTTTCATGGATGTTCTTCTACAGAACATCAAACATCCAGGAAAGTGAGAGTTTACTCAGATTTGGAGCTTGCCACATATGGATGTTTGACATTTATTAGACAATATAATAAATGAGTGACTTAATTCTTACCTTTCATATGTATGTGTGTGTTCTGTGTAAACATAACATGAGATTTACTCTCGTCATTCTTAAGATGCAAACTGAAGTGTTTTTATGAGGTTTACAATTTTTTCACATTGTTTATTTGAAAGCTGGATACTTTGTTCCAGTTAATTATCTGCAGTATCCTACTGCTTCTCTTTTCAGAACTGACTTAGAAGATAGAAGCATAGGGTTTTTTGAAGCATTGTCATAGTCATAGTCAATGTAGAACATCAAGTAATTAAAAGCAGGTCTTTCACATATAAACATGATATAATAATTTAGTTTGTAAGAATGCTTGTAATTGAACAGACTATTTTCTTACTGTTAGTTCCACATTATACAAGTAACTATTAAATATAAATTTATAATGGAAATTACTGTGTTTTTCATTTTTTGTTAGATAATAAGTGAAAGGAAGGCCTTGTGTTTTATTCTTTATTTCTGCTTTAGAAGGAAAAAAATCATCAATTACACATGCCTTATGCATGTCATTGTAGTTTTATCTTTTATGTGGTAGAAGTCACTTTATGAATCTTGTCAAAAATAGAATGGCATCATATGACACATCTAGTTTAAACCCTTAAACACATTCCTGGCTTACTCTGGTATTTCTCTAGCATCCCATGTGTCAGCATGCTCTGCTCCTTCTGGAACTTCTTCTGGATTCCAGATGGCCTCGTTAGTTTCATCACTGGTTTGAGGGATGACTGTAAAGAAGGTGAAGATAAAACTGAAGCTGTTGCCCATTTCCCCCTCAAAATAGCTCCTGGTCTTTACACTCAGTTTGGGATCATTGAAGTAAAACATTTTCTATTTGTGATCTTTAGCTTGTTTTTTGGTTTAAATAAATAAATCAGTAACAATTGATTAAATAGTTTAATCAATATACAACCAATACATTGTAGAATTGTAATAATAATTGTAAAAATTTGGAAAAGACATTTGAGCAAATAAAGGAAAATAAAATAATCTGCAATCCAACTGCCCAGAAATAATGAACAAAATAGCATTATGATGTATATCTTTCTAGTCTCTCTCTCTTCCTCCCTCCCTCTCTCCTCTCCTCTCTCCCCCTCTGCTTCTCTTTCTTTCATATATATGTATATATTTATACAAACATCTAATAAAATAATATAATATATATAATATATAAAATAACATCGTATATATATTATATGCAAAGAAATATTACACATTTTTCCTGAAACATAGAATCACATGTAGAATATTTTTATATAAAAGAACAAATCAAACAATCACTTTGATTTAGGTAGAAATGTCTTATTTTGCATTGTGTTTTACTATATAAAAGCCTTTTGATACATATTTCATTCAAGTATGACATAATTCTTAAAATATATCATCCATTAAAAAAACTTAAACTGTTCATTTTTTAATCCAGTGTTTTCCTTATGTAGACATGGCTTTAAAGAAAATCTCTATCAGTTATCCTTTATGTAGAACTGAGCATGTGCCTGGGTTTCTACATGTCTTTAAATGTTTAAAAGTAAATAGGCATGTAAAACCCAGCTTACATTTGTTCCAACTATTAGAGCAGCAAATGAAGAGCCAGATTTGGTGCACAACATTATTTGGAGTCCTTTTAAGCATCTCCCCCAAATGCACCTGATTGTCAGGTTTTTTAATTCTGCTAATTTTTTGAAATTATCTGCTTCTGTCTAGCATGGGATTTGAAAGATTATTTCCAGATTTACATATAATGCTTTACATATGACTCATTGTTCTCCGAACAAAGAGATTATTAGACCTACATTATCAGAAATACAGGCAATACAGAAATACATCCAACTTTAAACTAGTTTTCCATGGAGTGAATATCTCTTGAATGAAGTAAATCATCCCCTCAGACCTCATTTTTATCCATTACTTTAAATATTTTTTTCAGATAAAATTGGTGAGAGGACTTCACTTCCTTTCCTTGCCCACCTTCTGGTAACTGTGATCATGACCAACAGAACTAGAGCCTTCTTTAGTTTTTTTAAGATGTATAAAATGTTCAGCTGTGAAAACGTATGGGACAAAATGCTGGGAATACATCCAAGAGTATTTATTCCAATTTATTGGACCTGTGACTGCACAAGTGACCTCATGGACTTTAATTTATAAACATTTCAATATAAGATAAAATTATGTAGTTTTTTGTTTGTTTCATTGTGTTTTGCAAAAGACTATCAACTTAATGGGGGCAGGGATCTTTTCTATTTTGATTTCTAGTGTACTTTCAGAGATGATCATACTGCCTGTTTCATATTAGACACTCGATAAATATTTATTGAATAAAATAATGAATAAATTCTGTGAAATTGCCAGAATATAGCAGGGTAGATGGTGAAGAAGCTAAGCATCTTGGTAACTAGACCCTAAGTCGTAAGTTATTTAACCACACATGACTTTGAGGTTTTCTATCTCAGGAAATATGCCAAAACATGAATAATTCAAGGCAAATTAATTTTCATTACTATAAAAACAACTTACCTGCAACAGTAAATGACTATTCATCATTTCTACAGTTATTTGAGGTCATCTTTAACAAGTGCTAGTGTTAGTATTATTCCCCCTGTAATTTTATTCCCAAAGAAAAGATTGTATTAATTATCTTGGCCTATACACTCTATTAAAAAACTTACCTTTACTCTCTTCTGTTTTTGGTGGTCCAATATCCCCAGGACCCATGGCTCCGATCGCAGATAAATAATTAGACTGGGAGAGAAGAAAAAAGCCCAACATTTTGTATTACTTGTCTAATATGTGATCAGTAATACTTTAAATTGATAAGCTTTCCATCTAAAATTTCATAGAGCTTTCCAGTTTAATTACCCATAGTTGTTATACAACAGAGAGCCAGATGTCAAGTATTATTTTGAAGGTGTTTTCCTTGTCTTTCAAAAAGTATTTGGTTTAATAGACTCTAAGGCAGAATTGATGGTCTTTGATTAGACTAAATCCCTAGTTCCAGCCCAGTGAATTATGGATTCCTGGGGACAGGGGAATGAACCACATTCATCTTTTTGAAGGTTAGAACCAAGTGCTAGTATAAGAGCACCGACATTTTTGGGTTTTCACAGTGCCTGGTCACAGTTAGATGGGGGATAGAAGTATGGGAAAGCGTTTTTTTATATTCACTGGAGGATATGTTTATTGATTTTAGAGAGAAAGGAAGGAGGGAAGGAGAGAGGGAGGGAGG